TCTGTATCCCTTTTAAGCATAACTTTTTTTCTAATTCCACCTGACTCCTATGAGCATCAGGAGGATGACAGAAACCTCTTTCTTCATACTGTTCCCCGAATCCCACTGAACTCTCTACGATAGCCAAAAGAAATCAACAAAATGTGACATTGATATAATTAGGCGCCATCTTTTGATACTTAGGTTCCTTAAGTCACCTAACGGGGAGAAGTGCAACCGCAAAGCGTTCTTAGCAGCTCACATGGCCCTGCATATGAACAGTCGTGGTGGTAGTGTAGAAAAAAAGGAAAACTGGGTAGTGTTTCTAATGCCATAAAGTCATTTAATGTTAAAAGTGCATGTCTAATTAGCGAGGTGTATGGCAACCTCTAGTGGTATACGCCTGCTTAGAAAACAGCAAACATTCCAGTCTACGAAGCTATAGGAAAAGCATTTGCCTTCAGTAATCAGTCATCTTTTCACTAATTTTATTAGAACGACATGGTGATGAGATGTCAGAATACAGCTGCTCAGGGAAAGACTCTCCATTTCCAACTGTCACACATACTAGAGCAGGCAGGCTAGCTGTAGAAAAGCCAAATATCATGAAAGCTGTTTCCAAATAGGTTAAAGCAATTAATGCCAACTGACTTGCAATTTTAAGTGACAAATCGAATACCCGCACTAGTATGCCAGTTAGGTGCATGGCTTTACTTTTTGGTAATTGTACTTGAAGAATAGAAACCAAGCAAAGGAAAAACCTACCCTCATTGCAGGTACGTAACGCTCCACCTGGTTGTACTTCGTTGCTTAGAGACTATACAGCTACCTCTGGTAGTCATTTGTGACAGCAATGACATCAATACACATTTTATTTTATTTTTTATAATACTCTACGAATATCATTTAAAGATACTACAAATGTCAGCACTTCACAAATACGAGACAGACACAGTGCTGTGCAAGATCATCCTTGGCACTATGCTGATAAAAGAGCTCTGCGTAATTAAAACCAAACCAGTAGTAAGAGCGAGTAGATAAGGGAAGGATCTCAAAGTCAGGGCAATCTACAACAGAGGACATCCAACATTAAGTGAATACTGCCCTGAATCTTATTATAAAACATCTATTACATCTATTTTCACTTCCAGCAGCTGCTTGTGATACACTTATACAAATCTGTCGATTTTCATGCCTGTTGGAACATGACACAAATTACCCGACATTATGAAGTTGTATTGTACTGAACTCTACGTTGAATATTCCCAGTTAATTCTTTCATAGAAAAGAGTCTTCAGAATTTAAAACAACTGGCAGTCTCTCCTCAGAATAGGATTAGGAAAAAGCCTGCATGGAAATGGAATTACTTCTCACATTAAGGAAGGAATCATTAGAGCATCTGGTGAGGCTTAAATTATGACTGTCTATTCAGTTGTATTGCTAAGCAGATTTTAAGTTAAGTGTTTCACAGCTACTTAATTTAAAAACCTACACTCTCAAATACTTTATATTACATAAAGTACCATCTTTTTAGGCTTTTCCTTTACAGAAAACACTTTTTCATTACGGATACTGTGGTTTCTTCTCTCAGAGATGCTTGCACTCTGATGGTAGAATCAGAATAGAAATTTAAACATAAATACTCTGTTTTGGCATCACGGAGCAAGCTGGGTTCATCAATCCTGGCTAAATTTAATAATAGTGGCTAACAGACTTCATAAGGTAGGAAAAGGAAGGACAATGTATGCCTCAAAACATCATTCTCTTACGAAATATGTGCATTCCTATTGCTTTTCTTGAGAACTGAAACTTGGTAACAAATCTGTGTATTTTGAGAGGAAAACAGGTTAAAATTACATCCTTTATGGTGCTTAAGCCTGTCAGGGAACCCAATGTTGTAAAGTTCCTGAGAAGAAAACGCTACCGTACTAGAAAGTGAAGTCTTACGGGGAGACAGGCTGCCCCTGGAACCGACTCTTCCTTCCAGCCTGCTCATGTCCAAGCCCCACAGGACATTTTACAACAGATTTTAACATATTTTTATAGTAGGGTCTTTTGATTTATAAGCAATCATGATCATAGTGACAAATTCAATCCCAATCTTGGTGGTCAATTTTGCCTATTGTCCAGATGTACAGTTTTCTAACTGCACAAGAAGAT